TACGAAGTATGAATCTAGGAATATTGGAAATTGTAAAATATGAAATGGAACACATAAACATTGATATCTTAGGTATTAGTGAGCAGAAATGGAATGGTATTGGCCGTTTTGAATCTGACAACCACATTGTTTACTATGCCGGGAATGAAAAATTGAAGAAGAATGGTATTGCATTCATTGTCAGAAAGAACATATCCAGATCAGTCATGAGGTACAACGCTGTCTGTGATAAGATAATATCCATGCACCTACAGGGAAGACCCGTTAATACCACTATTATTCACATTTACGCACCAACCACTAAAGCCAGTGAGGATGAAATAATAGAAGAATTCTACCATCTTCTTCAATCTGAAATTGATCAAACATGCAATCAAGATGTATTGATCATTACTGGTGATTGGAATGCAAAAAGGTTAGGAACAAAGAGGAAGGAAATACCGTATGAAGAGTAGTTGGAAAATAAGGTCTTGGAGATAGAAATGATGTTGGAGATTGAATGAGAGAATTTTGCAAAATCAATGATTTGTTCATTTCAAATACATTCTTTAGACAGCATAAGAAATGATTATACACATAGACCTCCCAGATGGAATACACAGAAATCAAATTGAGTACATCTGTGGAAAGAGACAATGGAAAAGCTCTATATCGTCTGTCAAAACAAGGCTAGGGGCAGATTGTGGAACAGACCATCAATTGCTCATATGCAAATTCAAACTAAACCTGAATAAAATGAAAACAAGTTCATGAGAGATAATACATGACCTTGAATATATCCCACCTGAATTTAGAGATCATCTGAAGAATAGATTTGATACATTAAACACTAAAGACCGAATACCAGAAGACTTGTGGGATGACATCAAGAATATTATACATGAAGAAAGCAAAAAGTCATTAAGACAAGAAGGAAGGAAAAGATCAAAATGGATGTCAGAAGAGATACTGAAACTTGCTCTTCAGCGTAGAGATGCTAAAGTAAATGGAAGAAATGAGGAGGTATAAGAGCTGAGCAGAAAATTTCAAAGGTCGGCTTGAGAAGAAAAGGCAAATATTAGAACAATATGTGCAAAGATCTGGAGTCAGAAAACCAAAAAGGAAGAACAAGCTGAGCATTTCTCAAGCTGGGAGAACTGAAGAAAAAATTCAAGCCTCGACTTTCGTAATTGAAGGAGTCTCTGGGCAAATTATTGAATGATGCAGAAAGCATCAAAAGAAGATGGAAGGAATACACAGAGTCACTGTTCCACAAGGAAATGGTTGGTGTTCAACTGTTTCAAGAGGTAGCATATGATCAAGAACCAATGATACTGAAGGTGGAAGTCCAAGGTGCATTGAAGGAATTGGCAAAGAACAAGGCACCAGGTATAAAAATTGAAATCTTTCAAGACAGAGAGGAGGCACTCACTCATCTATGCCAAGAAATTTGGAAGACAACTATCTGGCCAACTGATTGGAAGAGGTTTGTATTTGTGCCCATTCCAAAGAGGTGACACAACAGAATGTGGAAAGCATTGGACAATATCTTTGATATCCCATGTGAGTAAAGTTTTACTAAAGGTAATACAGAATCAGCTGTAAGCACACATTGACAGAGAACTTCCAGAGGTTCAAGCCGGATTCAGAAGAGGCCATGGAATGAGGGATTCCATTGCTGATGTCTGATGGATCTTGGCTGAAAGCAGAAAATATCAGAAAGATGTTTACCTGTGCTTTATTGACTACACAAAGGTTTTCGATTGTGTGGACCAAGACAAGCTATGGACAACATTGCGAAGTATGAGTATTCTGAAACACTTAATTGTGCTCATGAGGAATCTGTACTTTGAACACAATATGCGAGCACTGAATGGTTTAAAATTAAGAAAAGTGTGCAACAAGGTTGTATTCTTTCACCATACTCATTCAACCTGTATGCTGAGCAAATAATTCGAGAAGCTGGGTTCTATGAAGAAAAATGTGGCATCAGGATTGGAGGAAGACTCATTAACAACCTGCAAGATGATACAACCTTGCTTGCTGAAAGTGAAGAGGACTTAAAATATTTACTGATGAAGATCAAAGAGCACAGCCTTCGGTATGGATTACATCTCAATGTAAAGAAAACAAAAATCCTCACCACTGGACCAATAAACAACATTCTTATCCATGGAGAAAAGATTGAAGTTGTTAAGAGCTTCATTCTTCTTGGATCAGCTATCAACACTCAGGGAAGCAGCAGTCAAGAAATCAAATGACATATTGCATTAGCCAAATCTGCTGCACAAGACCTTTTTAAAGCATTGAAGAGCAAAGATGTCAACTTGAGGACTAAGGTGTGCCTCACCCTAGACATGGTATTTTCAATAACCTCATATGCATGCAAACACTGGACAGTGAACAAGGAAGACCATAGAAGAATTGATGCTTTTGAGTTATGATGTTGGAGGATAATATTGAAAGTGCCACGGGCTGCCAAAAGAACCACAGATGTGTTGGAAGAAGTGCAGCCAGAGTGCTCCTTTGAGGCCAGGATGGCCAAACTTCGTCTCTCATATTTCAGCCATTTTGTCAGGAGGGACCAATTGCTGAAGAAGGATATCATGTTTGGTAAGGTGGAGGGTCAGTGAAAAAGAGGAAGACCCCCAGCGAGATGAATTGGCAAAGTGGCAGCATCAATGGATTCAGGTGTGGCAACAATCGTGAGGTTGGCCCATGACGGGGCAGTGTTTCGTTTTGTTGTACGTAGGATCGCTATGAATCGGTACCGACTTGATGGCACCTAACAACAACTGTGGCAGAAAGCAGATCAGTAGTCAGTAGTTGCTTGAGGATGAGGGTAGTGACAGAAGTGAGGGATTATAAAGGGAGGAAATTTAGGGACGATGATAACGTCGCTATCTTGATAATGGTAATAGTTTCATGAGTGCATATCCATATTACTTTTTAAATGATAGAACCCTGTTTTTCAAAGACCATGACCATCTCTTTCCATGTGCATGTCACTTTATGATGTTCTTGATAGAGAACATAAAAAGCCATCTTTCGGGGTCCAAAATATAAAGAATTATTATTGGACATAATCACTTTTTCACCTAGGTTAAAAAAGGGGGGTGGTGTTCAGAATGCCTTGGATGTTCATAGACAACCCTGTTGATACACTAAATCTTCTTACTGATTTTTAAAAAATAATCTATTAAATGTGTTATTTTTCAGTGCCGTTGAGTCAAATCTGATTCATCACGACCCTGTACAACAGAGTAGAACTGCCTCATGGGTTTTTATTGGCTGTAATTTTTATAGAAGCAGATTACCATTGTTTTCCCAGAGCCATTTGGTGGACTTGAACCACCAACCTTTTGGTTATAATCCTGGTGTTTAACCATTGCTCCACTAGGGCTCATCTATTAATTAGGATATGGCAAAGATAAATAGGGGCAGTATCCCGCTAATGTGATGTGGGGTAGGTAGGAGGCCTTCTTGACTGGATGAAGCCTATATGGAATAGAATACTGACTACTGGACATGCCAAATTGGGAACCTCTAGAGCTCCCTCCTGCCAAGGGAAAAATAGAACCTAGTCCAGGATTTCAGAGGCAGTGTCCTGGTGTGGCGCTTAAGATAAGCACTGGACTACAAGGTCAGCAGTTCAAACTCCCAACACTCCTCGGAAACCGTATACAGGGTCGCTATGAGTCAGAACTGACTTGACAGCACTTAACAACAATGTAAAATCACAATTATGACTCTATGATCAATCAAGAGGAACTGTGGCGATGACAATCTTGTTTGGCAAGTTTAGAAACATGAGTTCTGGAATTAACTAGGGATGATAAAAAAAAAAAAATTGTGGGGCTGTAGCAACTGAACTTCATGCTGTGATTTTTCTAAATTATCCCTTATTGAGTATACAGCCATGGATCTAGCTTATTTTTTTATACTGGTTCACTTTGGCTATGAACAGCAGTTTGCCTCTGCTTGGTAGGGACAGCAATTATGTAGATTCGCTTGTGTAGGGGCAACTATTTAAAATTTTCCATGACTGTGTGCCATGTTCTGACATATCAGAAGTTTATGCCAAAGGCCTAGATCTAATTCAAATAGCTGTTGTTGTTGTTAAGTGCCATCGAGTCGGTTCCGACCCATAGCGACCCTGTACAGGGTTTCCGAGGGTGTAAATCTTTACGGGAGTAGAAAGCCTCATCTTTCTCCCGCGGAGCGGCTGGTAGTTTCAAATAGCTAGTACATCAAAAAGTTAGTGAATGGGATAATATAAAAACAATTGTGTCTAAGAATCTATGTCTCGGGCCATTAAACAGAAAAAAAAAATTGAACATTCTCTTTGACAATAGGCTTTTTGAGGATACAGTTAACTGGAGCAACCAGGGAAATTCTACCCAAGACAAACACAACTTTTAACCTAAAAAGTAAAAATCTGGTGACTAAAATGGGGACCCAGCAATTAATCGGCTTCTTTGGAAATTAGAGCCTAACACATCCCTTTAGTGCATAGAAGCCTCCCTTCCTCTTGACTCCTATCATCGGCTCAAGATACTCTGGGGGTCTGTTCTATATCGAGTAAAATCAACCCACTGCCAGGGTTCTTGCTCAGGAAGTTGTTCAGAGATGGCACATTCCACATTACATAGTATTTACCCAGTGGACAGATTTCTTAGCTTCTAAATTCTAAGACTAAGCCCATATCTAAGAAGCAAATGGATTTTTACCTAACCTTATACTCTAAGTAGGAAGATGATGCTGAGAAACAACTCAGCACACATTCATTCATTCATTGTTTTACCAATGATTTGAAAGGTTTTTATTAATACTAAATTCTGGAGAATATTGGGTTTATTTCTAGCATTGCTTCTGGTCCATTCATCTTTGAGTCTGTTCTGGATCAGTACTGCACTTGCAAGTGGTGGATGAAAAAAAAATCTTTCAGTCTTCCTGAAGGCCAGTTTTTGATACTGTACAGAACTGTGAACAGCCTGGGGGACTGGAGTGAACCACACAAGTCAGTCGTCATCAGAGTCACCAGGGCCCATGTACTGGCAGACAGCATCATAGTGAAGCTCTACCACCTGATTCTCTCTCCGCAGCTGCACCAGAGCCTGGTTCCGCACTGTGTCTCGGCTCAGTAGACATCCCACCTGGAGAAGTTGGATGGAGTCAGCAACACCAGCCCAGATCCCAGGACAGGCCCTTCATGACCACCAACCAACCCTCTAGTCCCAGGTCTGGGACTTACCCTTCCAGCCTGTGGTCCCAGTACCACCATTACACAACTGCCCTCAACCTTGGGAATTAGGGTTTCCAGCATGTCTTCCCTCAGACCTGCAGATGAAGGAGAGGGGAGTAAGGACTATAGCAAGGGCCCAGCCAGCCCAGCCAGGAGTCTATCAGAAAGCCTTTCCCGTCTTCCCTAGAGCCACCTCACAAGCTGTGGCCAGATGGAATCCCACCACACTCATTTCAAACAGCACTTTAACATACAATGCTAATGATACTGGTGGTGATGACAGCAGACATCACATTATTGTGGGCATGCAGCTTGAGAGCGCAACAGACAGTTCTATAAGGTGCTATTTCCACGCTCATTTTACAGATGGGAAAAGTGAGCCTCAGATCAACATCACCATGGAAGTTTCTATGTTCTGTAAGAGGATGCTGGGCCTGGTAAACCTGAACTATGCCCAACCCTCCGTCTTTGCCTGGGCTATGCTTTTGGCCTAAGATACTCTGCTCTAGGACAGCTTCCATGAGGATAACTATTCCGCTGCCATCCCTCAGACTCACCTTCTAGGATACGGCCTTCATCTGTCCGACACACACAGGTACCAGGGCTCAGGACATCTTCAATCGTCATCTGGGGAGAAAAGTTGGAGAGAGGTGAGACTATCATAAAGTTAAGGATGCCCAGTTCAGGGAGAGGAAAGAGACCTAGGCTGTAGGGTTCCCACCTTGGTGTTATAATACTGGCCGCCCTTGAACAGCTTGTCCACGAACCGTACACGCAGGTCTCTATGCAACCAGTGCTGACTCCTGGGGGCTGCTTTCTCAGTCTTGGCTGGAGGACCATCCTGTCTGTGGAGAAGTCAACACCAAGCTTAGCATTTCATGAGACACGAACTCTAGTTACCCTGCTTTTGCCCCTGTGCTGTGAAACCCACCCATAATGCCATGCCTCATTCCTGCTATGTGCTGCCTTGCCCTAGAAGCCTTTCTAGATTGCGCAAATCTACACATACCCCTGCCCTATTTCTCTACCCCAGATGCCCAGGGCCCCACCGGTGTGGAGGGTGTTTCCGCTTCCTCTCTGAGTCCTCCCACTGAACATGGAGGTCCTGCTCCCGGGTGGCCTTCCGTGATGATGGTGTTCCATTCTGTTGCTTTGAGGAAGCTCTGTTCACCTGGCCTGTTCAAGGGGGTATCGTGAGAACCAAGAAAGAGCTTCAGTGTCTTCCCATCCTATCCCCTCAAATCACAACTCAGCCTAGGACCATCTCCCATTTGCCAAAGTACCCCTTTTCTCACCATTATGCCCTTTGCCCTGAGTTCTACAATACCTCTCCCTTTCTTTCCTCTTATTCTTTTCTGTCTTCGTCAGGAAGCCTTTCTCAACTACTCTAGCCCACACTGACAGTGCTTATCAAAGTCACCCACCTACTATGGGCTTGTGAGGTCCAGAAGAGCTCTGTCTGCACCTATCTCCCATCTGCCAAACTGTCCCATTCTAAACACGCCTGTCCTTGGGCTATTCCACCTGTCTAGAATGCCGTCTTCCTTGGTCATAACCTAAACCTAGCAGCTCTTGTTGCTGCTGTTGTTAAGTGCCATCAAGTCGAATCTGACCCATAGTGACCCTGTATAGGGTTTCCAAGGAGCAGCTGGTGAGTTTGAACTGCCGACCTTGTGGTTCAAACTGACTTTGCAGTCCAGCCCTTTAACCCACAGTGCCATACCAGGACTCTTATCAAAAGGGAGACTCATCACCCCAAACAGACAAAAACCTACTCAGGGTAGAAATGGGTTTCCCCATGTTCCTCCTCCTTTAGAAAGGAGCTAAAGACACCAGGGATACTAGATCAACCTTCCTTCAATCAAAATGAATAAACCACTTCTGTGACAAGAAGCCATCTGCCAGACAAACCACTGACTCTCCCCTCTGCATACTGACAACTATGTGAAAGGCTAACTCACCAGGATCTGAACAGTTCTTGTCAAACTCCTGCTGGGAGACAGGTCTCAGGCAGTACTCACTAACAGTCACCACTCGGTTCCCCACTGCCAGATGAACCATGGCTCGAACATTGTCAGGATCAAGGCCCTCCACCTAAAGTGTTTGAGGGAAGAAGTTAGGCAGGGTTGGGGGAATTCTACCCACCTTCCTGGGACCAAGCTACTGCCCCTTTACCTGTAGTAGGTCTGGCCTGATTCCCTTGTGACCCTACAAGGCTACAACTGCTCTGAGGCCTACAAGCAGGCCTGGTTCCTTGTCTCCCCCACCATGTTCATGCCAATATTCCTTGCTACTCAGTCTTGAGCTCCAGGGAGATCTTGGTTCCTTACCTTCCCATAGATACCTCGGTGGGGACCAGACAGGATCACTACAGCGCCTCCAGGCACCAGTCCTTGAAACTGGTCTTCTTTTTCTTTCTCTTCATCTGGTTTGGTCAATCGGTGGGGGCCGGTGGGGGTCAGGGCCTTGGCCTCGGTCAGGTTGGCACCCAGCCCTAACCCCTTGGGCCTCAGTGAGTTGACACGGGGCTTCACTACTCTGCATGGAAGAATATGGGCTTGCTGGAGAATGTAACAGCCTTCTGTGGCCCATTGCCCTAACCTAAATCTTACCCCATCAATAATTTAAAGACTACCCTTTCTGATCTCTATCTTAATCTACAGAAATAGCCATTTAATATGTATGGTTCAACCTAACAACACCCATCTATTATGTAGTATGTACAGTGAGATATAAAACAGATAGATCCCTGTAACCAAATACATCAATATTTATTAATGCAGGGGAAATCATATGAATAGTCAAGTGGGAACATCAGGCTATAAAAACAAACAGACTCCAATGTTAATTCAGGTCATGTTTGGTTGCCAAATGACATATGAAAAAAAAAATGTGGTTTCCCAAATACTTTGGAATTGCAGGTATGGATTTGTACATAGTCCATGATAATAATAGCAAATGTTTGTCTATGCTTATTCTGGGCCAGGGCCTACTGCAAGTGCTTTATGTGTATAACCTAATTTAGTCTTCAAAACAGATCTATGAAGTCAGGGACTGTCATTATTCCTATTTTTCAGATGAGGAGACTGATGCCTAGAGAGGCAAATTTTACATAAAGGGGATCCTATTATGCAGTGTCAGAGTGCAAACAGAACTTGGAAACAGGAGTAGAAGGGGCGTGTGTTCAGGTAAGAATGCGTCCTCACTCCCTACCTGGAGAGTTAGTCATGGGTTTATAGTAACCTCCGGGGTCTTGTTCACTACCCTGTCTGTGTGTCCCCTTGTCCCACTCTGGAACTCACTGATTGAAGGTACGGCCAATACCCTCGCCAGGTTTCCAGCCCATGCCCCGCAGCATGGCCAACCCGTAGGCCTCCACAGGGACTGCCTCATAATCTGCCTCCTCTGGCATCTAGGAGTTCAAGAGGAAAGTATGTCAGGCTTTGTTTACGGTGGTTTCTCTGAAGTGCAAGAATCAGTTCTGACTTCCTTCAGCCATCCTTTGCTTCACTTCTCCAAAATATGGTCATTCAACAAGTACTTATCCAACTATTCTGTGCCAGGTACTGTTTTAGGTGCTAGGGATAAAACGTGAGCAATACAGACAAAAGCCTTTGCATACTTGTGTCTTCTGCTCACAGCAGCCAGAGGGCCCTGTCAATAATAAGTCAGGTGATCTTCCTCTTCTTCTAGGAGCCTTCCCATGGCCCTCATCTCACACACAGTAAAAGCCCACAAGGCACTGCATAGTCTAGCCTCCACTACCATTCTGATTTCATCTATTACTCTTCGCTCCTTCATTCCATTCCAGCCACACAGGGTTATCCTTGGTGGTCCTCCCCAGGCAGAGTCTAAACTCAGGGCCTTCATGTTCCCTGCTCCCTTTCCTCCCCTTCTCACTTAGTTAGCCCAAGAATCCATGTATTTTCTATGTAGCCCAGTATTTGGATTCAACAAACGATTCCAAAAAGGATGGAAGGAGGAAGGGATAGGCAGCAGGCTTCTAATTCACAAAGACGTTCCCTGTCGCAAGCAGGGAGGCAAGCCTGGCAGACAGAATGAAGAGAGGCTGGGCAGGAAGGGGGTTAAGGACCAGCTCACTGTCTTAGCCGGGAGTTCGCTGTCTTCCCCTTCCCTGCTGGGGATGCATCCCTTCTCAATCATGGGGATAGCGAGCGTGGGACAGACACCCTCATTCTCTCTCTCCTCCAGAGACTTCTTGGATTCTAAGGAAGAATGGGAGGGAGCAATAAGGTATTGTTCTACCCTTCCTCCCCTTCCTTTATTGGGGCAGGATGAGGGGTGGAGGTCACTCACCCTCAATGAGCTCCTTCACGGCCTGGGACAGCAGCACCCCATCCACTGAGGCATCAACATTTGTGGATGGTCCAGGGGCTTGGGTCAGTTGCCTTTGATGTCCATTCTGGATCAAAGGAATTACAAGTTCCTTGGGAGCTTCTGAGGGCTTCACACTGATGCCAACATAGGGGGGTGAGGATGGAAAAGTTAATAATCACTGGGTTTTGAGCCACAGTCATCTATCCAGAGAAAACACAAGAACCAAACTCACTCCCTTTCCCATGAGCCATACCCTCCATTCTCTTGTCTGGCACTTCCATTATCTCTCTGACGGTGTTGTCTCTGATCATTTAAAAGTTGAGGAAAGATTCTTAATCCTTCGTCAACTCTTTTTTTTTAAATTTTTATTGTGAGGTTTACATGGGGGTTCATCAGCTTTACACTCATCCTATCGTATTTCGTTTCATTGCAATGATTACAATTCCCTCCATGCAAAGGCCCGCTGTCCCAGCCGTCAGCACACAGCCCTTTTCCCTCCCTGAGTCCAGTGTCCCCAGCCACTCCATCTTCCCATGTCATGGTCTGTCTCCATCCCTGGCATCACTGCCTCTTCATTCTTCTCATTTGATGGTCCCAGGGACCTCCGCTCCTGGGCTGCAAAATCTTTTTTTCCCCGCAAATCTCCTACTTTTGTCAACATCTACCTCTATATTTCTTACTCTCACAGTCAGTCCTGATGGCAATTATTCACTATTGTACCACAAGAGTCTTATCCCCATTTCCTTTTGCCAGCCTGGTCCCAACAGATTGGAAATCATTCAGTGGTGATTCTACCTTCCCCAACCCCATCTGGAACTAGGCTGCCTCTTGAAAGCTTGTAAGCCAGTCACTTCTTGCCTTTATAGGCCCCCCTATTTTGGGTAGCCAATGTCTAAGTTGCCCATCCCTGTCAACCCTGTGTACTGAGGGGGTGGGAGTGATCCTCACTGTAAAGATTTGTTCCCTTTTTAGAGCTGCTACATCCATAAGTATAGGTAAAGTTCGTCAAATTGTAGCAGGTTACTCTTTTTTTTTCCTTTTCACCCTCTTTCTTCTTCTAGTCGAGTTCTGATCATCCAGCCATCGAAGCAAGGTCAAGTGGGTACTATCTGCAAGTATGGGTGTTCTTGTGCCTCTCCCCTGACTTCGTATCAGCTGGACCCTTCACTTTCTGCTCTAGTCCTCTGTGGCCATGTCACTGCCTCTGGGCCCAGGAGTCCCTGGGTCTCCTTCCTCAACTCTTAAATGATTCCTTCAAGAAATCAGTTCTGGACTTTCTGTTCATTCCAAGACCCACTTCCAGGGCTTCTACAGTGATACGCAAAGCACCAGCTCCAGCCCTAGCTTCAGGCTGCAGACCAGGCTCCGGGCTGGTTGACTCTCTTCTGAAAGTCCCTCCCTCAGGCCCCTCAGCTCTCCTTTCTGTATAAGCTGATGATGATCTCCCTCAACCAGAATCTGCTATCCTATCCTGTTTCCCATATCAGAAACCTATCGCTTCAGTTAAGATACTAGGGGTCCTTTTCCTTTCTTAGAAAGCACACATCTTGGGGTCCTCAAGTTCTAAAGACACTTCCTCTCAGTAGTGTATCATCAGTTCTCAATCCTCACAGCTATCAGGCCCAATTTTTCCAACCCTTCTACAAACTCCCGCCTTCTAGTCTCCACAAATTTCCTCAGGCTGTGCTTCAGGCTTTCCGGGTCACCTTCACAACGACAACCAACTCAGATGCTGCCCTCCCTCTGGAGCCCGCCAGACTGATTTCCACGGGGATGGGAACCCAACGCTTCACCTCTGCAGCTCCCTCCCTTCCACAGTCTTCAAGAAATCCTTCTCCTCTGAGGCGGCCCTCGCGCTGTCTCCCAGGTCCACTACCCGCCTCCGGGCAGACGTACGACTGAAGCCGAAAGAAATTGGAGCAGCAGATATAGTCGCCAGACGGGAATCACTATCTTCAGCGTCAGCCATCTTGCTCCTTTTCCTAGGTTCGTGCGCAGTTTGCCAGGAAGTTTAGTTCGAGCTCTGTTCGCCCAGAGCCAGCCAACGAGCGCAAGAACTACCTTTCCCATAAAACACTGCCGTATCGGCGGAAGCGGATATGGAGGGCGAGGGCGGGGAAACGGAGGACCTGATTGTCGCTCTTTTTTAAGCCCTGTTTTCAACTTCATAGGAACGCGTCGCGCCAAGCACCTGGGAAATGTAGTTCTCTAAGGAATGGGCAGCCATTCATTTGTGCCACTTCTTTCGTTCGACAAATATTTCTTGAGCACCTACTGTTTGCTCTGGTAGCGTAATGGTTACGAATCGGGCTGCGAGCCGCAAGGTGAGCAGTTCGAAACTACCAGCTGTTCCGCGGGGAAAAGATGAGGCTTTCTGCTCCCGTAAAGATTTACAGCCTCGGAAACCCTATGCAGGCTCACTATGAGTCGGAACCGACTCCAAGGCACATAACAACAACACCTACTGTTTGCACCTTGCTGTGCCCTGCTGATGTGGAAAAGTGTTGATAAAGGAAGTCTTTAAGAACGCAATCACCATTTACAACAACATCTAAGAGTATAAAATACATCTAAGAATAAACCTAACCAGGCACTTGGAGGATTTACACCATGAAATTTATGAAACACTGCTGAAGGAGATTAAAGAAGACTTAAATAAATGAAAAGATGTTCCGAGCTCATGGATTGGTAGACAGTACTGTTAGGATGTCAATACTACCCAGAGTAATTTATAGATTCAATGCAAGCCCAGTAACAATTCCAACAACCTTCTTTAGAGAAACGGAAAAGCCACTCCTCAACTCTACGTGAAATGGCAAGAGGCCCCGACTAGCTAAAGCAAAGTAGGAAGAGAAGAGAAAAGTAGTAGGATTCACATTTCCTCACTTTAAAACATATTATTTGTTGTTGTTAAGTGCCTTCGAGTCAGTTTCCTTTATAGAGTTTCCAAGGAACGGCTGGTGAGTTTGAACTGCCGACTTTGTGTTTCAAACTGACCTTGCGATCAAATGCTTTATCCTACAGCACCACACCAGGAGTCCAAAATTTATTACACAGCTACAGTAATCAAAACAACCTAGTACTGGCAGAACAATAGATGCAGATCAATGGAATAGAATTGGGAGTTCAGAAATAAATGCACACTCCTATAATTAACGTTTTGACAAGGATTCTAAGTCCATTCATGGGAAAAGAAGAGGGTATTCAATAAACGATGTTGGAAAACTTGATTTCCACATGCAGAAAAATGAAACAGGATTCATGCGTCACAGCATACACAAAAACAAATTCAAAATGGATTAAGAACTGAAATGTGAAAACGAAAATCATAAAACTCCTAGAAGAAAATGCAAGGAGTATGCTGTAGGGCCTAGCTTTTTTTTTTTTTTTTTAATGTTTTGTTGTGAATTATGTGATAGTTTACATGGGAGAACATTAGTTTTACATTCATCCTATCATATATCGTTTCATTGCCATGGTTACAATCCCCTCCATGCATCATCAACCAACCAAAGGGTATATACCCTGCAAGCCTCCCCCCCACCCCCACCCCATCAGCACACATGTAGGGCCTAGCTTTTTAACAATGAATTATGTAATATAATAGCAAAAGGAAAAACAAATAAATGAGACCTCAAAATTTTTTAAAGTAATTTTTTGCCAAATGAGTAGCATTTTTATTCAAATCTTATCTATAAATAACAATCTCCAAATATTCTAAACTAATCTATAATGTAATTTGAAATTCTCAAATTTAAACAAACCCTTTTTGTTTTCTTTTAATCAAAGCTTTGAGGCATTTGATAAAAAGTCAGACTAATATACATAACTAATATACATAAACTAATACATACTTTGAAATACAGCATACACTGACTTCATTTTTTTTTAGCTTGGCCTTCTTTAACTTCTTTGATTGTGGCCGCTAAATAAGGAGACCTTCCCTGTCTGGGTGACTTAAAAGCATAATTCATCATTAAGCATCTGTTGATTTTTCTTTATTGATAGTAGGGCTTGTGTTGTTGTTGTTAAGTGCTGTTGACTTGGTTCTGACCCATAGAGACCCTTTATAGGGTTTCTGAGGAGTGGCTGGTGCTCTTGAACTGCCAACCTTGTGGTTCAAACCTATTTTGAAGTCCAGCTCATTAACCCACAGCACCACACCAGGACTCCAGTAGGGTTTATATCCGTTTTGACTTCATTCAGTCATTTTGGGGTCAAATTCACCTCAGTATATTCACTGAGGCAGATTTTGGACTTGCAAAACATAACAACCTAACCCCACCCCACCCCACCCCCAAAAAACCAAACATAACAGCCTGCAAATCCTGCAGCAGTAATGGTCAGTTCAACTGTTACCATTGTACTGGCCATAGCTCCAGCTCCGCTTACCTGTCTCCTCCACCAAGAGTATAGTTCATTCCAGATCAGAGGCCATAGCCACCTGACCCATGCCTCTTTTTTTTAAAAAAAACTTTTGTTCACTAAAAGACTTTACCAAAAAAAGTGCAAACACAAGCTACCGACTGGGAGAATATCTTCAGAAACCATATCTCCAATAAGAATCTAATAACCAAAATATACATAAAGCACTGATAAATTAAGAACAAAAACACAAATAACCCAATCATAAAATGGGCAAAGAACTTGAACAGACATTTCACCGAAAAGGACCTTCAAGTAGTCACCAAACACATGAGAAGATGCTCGGCATCAACAGTTATCAGAGAGATACAGATCAAAACTACAGTGAGATACTGTTACACCCCATATAAGATGGCTAAGATTAAACACACACACACAACAGAAAATAGTATATGTTGGCAAGGATGTGGGGAAATTGAAACCTTTATCCGTTGACGGTGGGGATGCATAATGGTACAACCTCTGTGGAAAACAGTATAGCGGTTCCTCAAAAAATGCTCTGGTAGCATAGTGGTTACGAATCAGGCTGCAAACCTTAAGGTCAGTGGTTTGAAACTACCAGCTGCTCCGCGGGAGAAAGATGAGGCTTTCT